GAGAGAGAGAGAGATGACATAACAGGGGGCAGACTGCTGCCCCCTTTCTTATTTCTTGTTTCAGCATTAGCACACCGGCGAGTACCATAGCAACTCTCCCAATTACTGAACTCGGGTGAGTTTTCCTGAGTTCTACATTACTTGGGGCGAGTTGTTACAGTATCCACCCTGATTACTACAGAGGTAACATACCCCAAACTTGTACTGAATTACTCGCCTCGGCACCATGCTGAGACTGGGTAACTTGGCCAAGTCCGGGTCGACTTGGCAGAGTCTTGGAACACTGTTTGCAACTTGACTTCTTCACACTTTTCAGTTTCTTACTTCTGAGCTCAAAAGAGTGAAACTAATGTGCTAGTTTCTCATATAGTCTAGGATTTTGACTATCTATTGCCACCTTACAAGGTGGCTTTAGTTTCTAATTTCATTTTATTGTGTTAAGATCTAATTCCTTTTTTGAATCTTGGCAGGTATTGTAGAGAAGTTGATTCAAAACCTCTGTGGCCATCATTAAATAGCAGGCCTATGGATGCAGATATCCCAACATGCGAACATTGTGGTAGCCGACGAGGTTTTGAGTTCCAGGTAGAATTCTGTATAACGTAAATAATTTCATATCTGTTTTGTTAGTAAAATAAATTGGGAAACTATCTTACTACCCCCTTAAAATACCCTTTATTCATGATAGCCAGAATTCTGTATGAAGTAAATAATGTCATATCTGTTTTGTTAGTAAAATAAATTGGGAAACTATTGTACTACCCCCTTAAAATACCCTTCATTTCATGATAGCTCCTGCCTTCTATTTTCTATCATGTGGCTTTGGAATAACCTAAATAGTTTTGTCCAAACCCCCCCACCCTGGTCCCTCTTTAAAATTACTAGCAGAGTGCAGGTGCTCTGCAGGTGATTTGAATCTAATTTAGTAACTTCTAATTATGCCTTTTCTCTCCCTATCAACATCTTGACCATGTCATTTGTCTTAGTCCTTTATCTCTAACCATGCCTTTTCTCTCTATAACTCCTTTATCTATAACTGCATCTACTTTTTCCAACTGCAGTATCACTCTTATCCCTTTTCTCTGTCCAAATATGCCTTTTCTATCTCTAACCACGCTCTATGTTCTTCTTCAAATAAATTAATAGAATTTTATGGATTGGACATGTTATTAAAAATCAATTTTTGTGCATGAAATACATGAAGGTAGTTGCAGATAACTTGTAACTTGTGACCATCCCACATCCATGAAGTAGTCACCCAACAATATATAAGTAATCTACTTGCTATGATTTTTATCAAAATGTAGATTTTATATTAATCATAAGTAAACTATTGCTTAGAACAGTGCAATTTGTCATTTTTGTAGTGACATTGTGTTGTGCTATCCACTTAACTTATGTGGAATTTATTTTTAAATTAAGTAAATTATTGCTTAGAGCAGTGCAATGTGTTATTTTTGTGGTTGCACTATGTTGTGCTACCCACTCAACTTGTATGAAATTTATTTTAAAGAAGTTATCATGAATGTAGAATATTTTTAAACTAGATATATTGTTTCATTATATAGTTTAAAGGGGTATGTGCATTGGATTGCGTAGAAGTTGAAAAATAGAAGTTCTTTATTGTGGTCTTGCTAGACTATTTCTAGGTTTGTCTTTAATTAATCTTATAGCAGTGTACTGTGTGATTTTATGTGTTGGCACTATGTTTTGTTACCGACTCAACTAATGTCAAATTTATTCTAAATAAGTTAACATGAATGTAGAATTTATTTAGACTGGTTATACTGTTTCCTTATAGAGTTTGAAGGGGCATGTGCACTGCACTGTGACGTGGGGGTTTTAGGCTTTGATTACGTAGAAGCTGAAAAATGGAAATTTTTAGTTGTATTCTTGCTAGACTATATTGTAAATTTCTCTATAATTAATGTTATGTTTTTTTAAGTCAATAAGATTTGTTAATCAACTTTTTAAGTGTTTGTTATAAATATAAGTTGTAAATTATAACTTATAAAAACAATTTAAATATGTATAAAACTTATATATTTATTAGTTATATATATTTGCAAGTTATAAATAAATTTAAATTAAATAAATATAAAAATAGATAAATTAATACCTTTATACAATTATAATTTGCAATGCAATAATTTTTAAATGTACAATTACATTCTATTGGTTTTAAGAAATTTCATTTTGCAGCAAAACAAAACTTTTAAAATTAATCAAGCTCTAAAAGATTTAGCAAAAAATGATATAAATGTCATAAATAAAAATGGTGGTCAAACTACAATTTCGCTTATTGATTCTCCTTGAAGTCTATTGTTTTCTTCATCGAAGTTCTGCTTATCCACAAAATCTTGTTTATTATCAGAAAAATCATCACCAACTCCATTTGGACACTCGTCAAAGATCGGTGTCCACTTCCCCAAGAGGTGTTTTAAAACCTCCAATATGAATTGAGAATCACTTATCTAGAAGTTAACATGAATGTTGAATTTATTTAAATTGGATGAGTAATGATCTTATGAGACCCTTCCACACCCATGTGTGTAGGACCCCGAAGGATCACCATTAAATTTGACACAGATCTCTAGAAAAGTCAAGTCCCACACCCATGTAATAATTTTTCTAGAGATCTATGCCAAATTTAATGGTGATCCTTTGAGGTCCTACGCACATGGGTGTGGGAGGGTCTCATAGGATCATTAGTCAAATTGGATATATAATTTCGTTATAGAAAAGAAGCATGTACATTGGATTACCTTAGAGGTTGAAATTTGTAAGTCCTTTATTATAGTCTTACTAGACTATATTTTAGGTTTGTCTCTAACTAAAATCTATACCCAAAATTCTTACCCCATGTCTATCGCATATCCTCTCTCTTGAAAAATAGCACACTTCAAATCTCTCTCCAAACCCTTGCTTTATTTTTCCTCAAATCAATATTTCCCTTCTCTCTCTCTCTCTCTCTCTCTCGTTAACAATATACACATGTATGTGTGTATACGCACGGATCTGGCTATATAGTTGGAAGTTAATTGATAGAAATATTAGGCCATGTTTGGTCCGAATTTGTCAAGAAATATTTTCACGTGAAAAAAATTCCCTCTAGAAATATTTTCACTTGAAAAATTTCCTCATGTGGTTAGGTGTGGGAATATTTTTACCCAATTAGCTCCCAATTGGTGTGAAAAGATGCATTGGGACCAATTGGTTTGAAAATATTCATAAACCTAGAACTAACGTACCCTTAGTGCATACAAAATCAAAACACACCTAAGTTCTACATAAAGAAAGGTATATTTTGATAGGAGATTGAAAAACAATTTAGTCATGTATATACAGTATGCAGTTAATAACATGACAAATAAAATTAAGTAAAAGTCTTAGTGTTATTCTTGTCATGCTATGATGGTTTGAAGTTATATCATAATTAGGAGACTTGTAAGTATTCCTATGGGTTTGCGACCTATCTTATCAAGTCCTTGTGATCAAAACATATCATGAAACATATGTTTTGACACATAAGAGTTCTTATTTTTTATTTAGGCCTTACCTCTTAATTTGATTACCTAAAGCGATGGATAGATAATTGAAAATATAATTTATCAAATTAAAAATCAGAGTTGATTTAAAAATTTATATTTTGAATAAGTAAATTTTCATTACTAAAGTGGTCTTAAAAAATATAATATTAATTTTATAATTAAAATTAAATTATAAATTTGAGCTTACTTAAGGTGGAATTGTAATTTCTGTTGATAAGTAATTATAATTTTTAATCCCGCTGAACATTGCTAAAATTAAATTTTAAATATGGATATAACGTGAATAAGAAATAATTGTTGAATCTAAAAAAGTTATAACATGGATAACAAATAATTGTTAAAAATTTTGTTTATAATTATGATATTAAAATAAATTAGATTTATTGATCAAATATTAAAAAACCTAACTTCTGAATTTGTGTTAAAAAAATGGAATTATTTTAGTGGTTAATCCTTTCAAAAAGTTAACATTTAATTTACAAATTACAAATATTAAAATCCTTATTAAATATTTATTATAAATAAGTTTTAAATATTTATCATATAATTTTAATGGATTTTGTTGACCCAATATATTTATTAAACAATGTACAAAACAGGGATTGCCACGTGGCTAGGGCTGAGAATTTTTTGAATCGGGTCCGTATCCATTCAGATCAGGATCAAAGTATACATGAGATCCGGATTTGGATCTTGATCCAGAATGTTTGGATCCGGATCTGGCTCTGAAAACTATAGATGCAATTTGGATCCAATCAGTTCCCGCCTGAATCTATGTTCCAGTCTGAATCCAATTAGAACTATCATTTCTAAGATATGCATAGGTTTTACCTATTTCCAAACTTGCTGCTATGGTTCTTGATTGTTTTGCTATAGAACGAGGTACTATACAGAGAGATTGCTACTTTAGATCAAGTCACAACAGTTTCAAAAAAAAAAAAAAGATCAAGCCATATCAAGCTTTTACCGTCACCAATTTCTTGAGGGATTGAACGATGAAGTATACCAGAGAGATTGTTACTGTTTAGATCAAGCCATAACAGTTTAAAACAAAAGATCAAGCCATATCATGCTTTTATAGTCACCAATTTCTTGAGGGATTGAACAAGGAACTATACTAGAGAGGTTATTACTATTTCGATCATGCCATAACAGTTGCATATATATATATATATATATATATATATATATATATATATATATATACTACTACGTTAGTTAGTA